AGCAAACTCAGAATCAGAAAGATACTTTTAAATTGTTTTCTGTTTCCAAATCTTCAAATTACATAGAAAAGGAATATTCTTCCAGGAAATGCTGAAAACTGACCAAATACATATTCACTGTACTCTCTATGAAAACAACACTGCGACTTTGTGTTGGGTTCGTGCCATGGTGCCCACGTTATGGCCTCTGTCGGTTTATTTTGCGAGGCAAAACCGCGGCGTTTTTAAAATTGTGTTTGTATGACGATGTAAAGTGTACACGCCTTATTATATTAATTTGTATAGTTATTGATAACACAGAGCTTATTCAGTCAATACGCACAGGGTCTTTGTTGGTCTATGGTTGGGCGCAGTTACTATTTGATTTACACATAAAACAATCAAACGAACAAATAAACAAACGAATACAAACAAAAAACAAAAAAATTTGTATAGTTATTGATAACACAGAGCTCAGTCAGTAAACACGCACAGGGCCTTTGTTGGTCAATGGTTGGGTGCAGTTACTATTTGATTTACACATAAAACTACCAAACGAACAAATAAACAAACGAATACAAACAAAATACAAACAAAAACTCGGATGTTTACTGCGTCAAATTTAAATGATTCTTAATGCCAAAATGTGTATCACACAGACTTAAACTATTCTGGTATCATGTCGCTGTTTATGATCCTTCATTGCTTTTTATTTTGTTGACGGGGGGGGGGGGGTAAATGTTGATCTGGCAAATATACTTGTACTTGTACGGATGTCATCAATTTCTAACGGTTATAAGTTATATAAAATATAAAATATATTTATATCGTAAACTTTACCCAATCTAAATACCTTTCGCAAAAGCCACAAGAGACTGAAGTAAAATGATGTCGACGCAGATAACCTTGAAAACTGATTGTGACAAGATATATGTATATAAGCTGTCATTTATTCGCCAGGAGCAAAACCTTGTGACGGTCACGGTCACAGTCAAAGTCACGTCACAGTAATAAGGCGTGCACCCATGGGCAACCAACCATTGTATTGTGTATGAGTAGACTGTTTGAACGTGCGGTTTAAATTTACCTTTGTAATACAATTATCATTGCCTTGTGAATGTGACTAATCAGGAAGTTCCATAAAACTAACTAGCATAGGTTTACGAGGCGGGTGTGGGGGGGGGGGGGGTACTAAGGGGGCTTAAGTCGCCCACAAAAGTTTAAAAACTACAAATACGCGTATAATGTTTGTATCCTCAAATTAAATAAAGATGGATGAGGTTGCTGCTTCATAAATTACTATTTGTATGTTATTACTGTTCTTGATATCCTGTACTCTACCTCTACCTCATCTCTTCCCTCCCAGAGCTCCTCGTTTTCTGTCACCTTCTCTTTTCTCTTTTCTCCCTCCTTCTCTTTCTCCCTCACATTTCCTTTCTGTTCTACTCCATTCGACTCCTCCCTCTCTCTCTCTCTCTCTCTCTCTCTCTCTCTCTCTCTCTCATTTGTTCTTCTCTCTCTCTCCTCATACCCCTTTCTGGGAAAGAAGGGGTGAATGTCTCAGAGCACTTTTAAATTCATTTATTCAATGCATTCTGTCCATTATCAAGATTCATTTTTAAATGTCAGTTTTCAAGTTTATATGTCAGCTTTGTTAATGCTATTATTGCTATTATTATTGTTATTATTATCATTGTTGTATTTTCTTTGTATCGGTATCCTCGAATGTATTTATATATTGTTTATGTTGTTTGTATACATGTATGTACGTCACTCGCCAGTGGAGGACGAATTTTTGTATTTTTTAAAATCAGACAATAAATTATCTTGAATCTTGAATCTTGAATCTTGAATATAATTTCATGTTTTCCAACAAGCCTGCCTCTCCCCTCCCCCCTCTCTCTCTCTCTCCTCTCTTTCTCTCTCTCTCTCTCTCTCTCTCTCTCTCTCACCCCTCTCTCTCTCTCTCTCTCGCTCTTTCTATTCTCTCTTGCTCTATCTTCTATCCATTCTTTTATGTTTATACTATCTCTTTCACACGTTGACGCATTTCTCAAGGTTATATTCATGGATGAGTGGCTTTACACAAAAATCTTGTTAATAAACAAAAAATCACGTTGATGAAATGATTTTATATTTAATACAATGATAATCAAGGTTGACACTGTGACACTGTGACACAAAGCTATTTGTTTACCTTCATACGAATCGAAACTGATAAGCATGAATATTTTATTACAAAAATTACTACTTTAGCAATCAAATAGCAGGATATACTTGAAAAGTTGACTAATTGTAAGATGGTAAAAATGAAATTATTCATAAATGCAAAACACTTGAAATGGGGTTACTAGTACTTTAAAATAGTAGGCCTACATTGTTCTGATACAGCGACATGCGCAGTATAAAGACCCATGAATGGTGGCGAAAGGCCTAATAGTACCAAAGAGTTAATAGTACTCTCTTTCATATAATATAACCCTGTGCTAAATTATAAGTGATTTAGACCTTCAATATAGAAGAGCCTTAAATGGAAATCCAAGCTAAATAGTAACCTCCTTTTAAAAACATTTTGAACGAAATCACACAGAAAAATGAGAAAGTTATGAATTTCTGAAAGTTGTAATTATTATTTGTATGTCACACTCCAAATTGGTTGAATCGGTAGTGTCACTGTGACGAAGTGACGGATAAGTTTCCCATTTGTTCTAAGACACAAAATTACATTTTTTATTTTCTCAATATGTATGATTCAGGACAGTCTATTCTTTTTAGAGAACCTTTGAAAATAATGCTACCCGCAATATATGTTGAGACCTTGCCCAGGGTAGAAGGCACTTACAGGTGTAGGAGAAAAACATCAATCTATGGTATTTCTCTACATGATAAACGGGACAGTTGTCCGTGTGCACGTCACAACCCAAATTGCCAATCAGCGATTCGCTTAACTTGAGTGATCTCATTTAAACGCTCATAGCTAGGCCTATCTTATTATTGGTCCGATTTTAATATTCAAACTTTTGCCATTCTGTCTATCTTATTTTTCCGCTTTCATTCAAATACATCTCATACAAGGGTTGGATTGCCCTTTAAGTACAATATTTTTTTCTTCAAATAAATTAACTGTTATGCATCAAGATAAACCCCATTATATATTTCCATGGGAAAAGGTGTGGTGTACATCAATCTAAAAGTGAGTTGAGCCAAGGTTATGACTGTCGCTCAAATCTATGCTCAGATCAAAGTTTAAAATTGCAAGTTTATCAACACAAGAGGGCGTTTGTTCATTTAACCATTGCTACATGATTTATTGTCGTGGAACTTATGGAAACTTGTCTCATAAATAATTGTTTGTTAATAAAAACATCTTATTTAATGTATTGATTTACTGAAGATATAACTACAGCACATTCAGTCATCAAAAGGCAATTGGAAAAGCTTTTATTGCATATATACTGTTGCACAAAACAAGGCTACTGATTATACCCAAATCTTTTACATGATTACAGCTACACAGACCAATAAACAATGAGCATTCATCTAAAGTCTCTGGAAAGACCCAAATTATGTAATAATTATTTGACAAGGATACAAACGGACGACGCATGCATCTTTTGCATTGTAAATTATATGAATAGGGTTTTGAGGAGTCAAACTTTAATGGGAGTCATATGAATAATATAAATGTCAAACTTAATTGATTTGCATAGTTCACATAATGGGAGGGGGGGCATAACGGAATATTCAAAGAAAAATCAAACAGATAACAACAACAAAAAGGGATATGAATGCTAAAGGAGACAATGTGTTATTATAAAAAATATGTTCAGTTATGTACATGTAGCGCAGCTAACATTTGAATATACTCTATTGCGCTTAATACAAGTATCTTATTATTACTACCCCAGCAGTAACTGAGCCGCCATTATAAGGCACCAAAACATTCAAGTAATTACTTTCTACCGGGTACCCATTTACTGGGTGGAGAGTGGCAAAGGTAGATTAATGTGTTGCCAAAGGACATTGGTGCCGCAGCGGGACTCGAACCGCGAACCATGTGATCCTTAGTCCGGTGACGTTTCCGCTAGACCATGACACCTCTACATTATCACCATTATGTACATTAAACATCAAGTGAAATATTTCCCTTAAAAGTTAAAAGTCGTCATGGTCATTGAAATCGCAACACATTCCTCTAAAGATGAAAGTCGTTGTCATTGCATATTTACAGAGAAGTCCTTTTGAAAACTTAAACAGACGAGTTAGATTTATTTCCTAGAAAACAGGACAGTTTGAAACCTGTCATAACGATTTTAAATAGTTTGATGCCATAATATTTTAATTTATGTTCCTTTCATTTGGTAGTCGATCAGGACAAACCCTTAAAGGGTTCGCAGGAGCAGGTGCCTATGATAATTATGTGAGATACTCGAATATCCCACTTTTTTTGTAACCAAACAAATTGACTCTCATGGTATAAATCCAGTGTGGTTGATTAATGTGCTATTTTTTTTATCAGTATTGCCATGCCCCCTTTTAAATCCGTCCGCAAATAGTGTGTAAATGAAGGAGAGGCAAAGAGGCAAATTGTCAATCCTGACAGATTTTCGACCATGAAAATGAAATACAGCCTCACTAGCAGTATGTTGATTAGGATTCACTGTTAGTGTACACGTAACCTCTAACAACTTCCCTAAAGGGATAGTTTAAAAATGTTAAATCTGAGATACACGGTCCTACATGTTACCAGTGTCTGTGATATGCCCTAAAAAATCGCGCTTTAAAATGATCAAGAAGTGCCTCAAAAAAGTAAAAATCTTTGAGTGACCGGTTTTACCATACTCGTTATCCCCAAAAGACTGTAGTGTTATTTTGCCAACGTTTGCCAAACGGTTTTCAAAATTTGTAATTCCAATCATTAATATCTTGATAATCAGACAGGCGATCGGCTCGTAAAAGTCATGGAGTTCCTGACTGACCTAAAGGTTTATAATTATCATTGCAGCATGAGCTAAATCAAGGATTATTTCTAAAGGATCTAAGACAAAGTTACCGGATCCCTTTAAATGATACATTTTAGGCGAAGCCCCCGCCCCTCCACCCCCTCTGCAAGGCAAACCCGGCCAATCCTTGCTGAAAGTGTATGGATCTCAATAAGTTGAAATATTTTGCCCCTTCTGAGGCCAAGGGTTGGATACGCCTCTGTAGTGTGCATTGTATACTTGTAATCATTAGTCCACTGCCGGGACTGTTTCTGTCTCGCGCTCACAATCGGCTTAGAACATAACACATCCTCAACGCTTAAACAGAGAACGTTTTTGCCTTACATTCGACGGGTGTATTTTCTGATCGGGATCTGTGCGGGATGCATGTAAGGGAGGTGGACATCGTTGAAGAGTGAAAAAATATATAACAAGGGACATAATCTGGACTAGTAATCAAATGAAGCTCGTTGAGGGACTCCTCTAGTTTTCTTGAATGACTGATCGTATCCAGGCATGGTAGAAGCTAAGACGGGTGAAGAGGTTCGGAGTGTAAGGAGTGCCACATGTTGACCCACCTGACACTGTGCCAATAATCGTCCACTTGCCTTCCCTCTGTACCACGGCTGGGCCCCCAGAATCACCCTGGAGGAGTAGATGAAGAAGAGAAGAACATAATTAAAGGAGAGAGAGAGAGAGAGAGAGAGAGAGAGGGAGAGAGGGAGGGTGGGGAGAGATATATATATATTGAAAGGGACGAACAAGAAAAGCAGCGTGATACATTGTCCCGAGGTTTTTAAGTGTATTTATTCACCTATCCTGTCCAAAGGGGTGTTCTAAAACAGTTCTAAAATATTTGATAATTTATTTATTGTGGCGTTTTCTTTGGAAACATATTTTGTTGAACAGTATTCGATTCAATGTCAATATTTGCATGTTGATGTTGTACTCCTACATGAAATGATTTCTAGAATTATGAATATTCTTATCTAATCCCAATTAAAACCATGATAACTTACGTAACAAGCACTCTGAAGTCCACGCTCATAACCAGCGCATATTATACGTGCTTCGAGGACACTGGTAGTGAACTTGCTCCACTTATTACATATATGCGGTGGAATTATGGGTAGGCGAGCCTCCATCAACTGGATCCCATCAAAACCTATGCAGAAAAATAGAGAGAAAGAGAGAGAGAAAGAGAGAGAAAGAGAGAAAGAGAGAGAGAGAGAGAGAGAAAGATTGAGGCAAAATAGAGAAAGGGAGAAATAAACAAAATATCAAAATATAGTGGCACTAGTAAAAGAAAACATACACATTCTGTTATTTTCAGTCAGTCGGAAAGTTTCTAAATTGAATATGAAATCATTTTGTGTGAAATATATGCTCTTCTCAACCTCTCTTGATACAAATAATTACGACCTCTCTCTCTCTCTCTCTCTCTCTCTCCCTCTCTCGTAGGTCACTTTAGCAAGTTAAAAACCACCTTATGATTTTGTTACCAATCCCCACAATGATTCATCCATTTTTTAAATTTTTGTTTTATTATATAGCAAACTGTTTATCTGTACAGTCCACAAAGCTGTGTATAATGCCAATGTTTCTATGCACAACTTATTTTCTTTTAGCGCCTTACTTTTGGGGGGATAACCCTCCCCATGAGTCATCATGGAATCTTACCGCCTCCTGTAGCACCCCAACCGGTAACGGTCAAGTATTCTCCTGGTGTCAGCTCGATATCCTCCTCAGCAAGACACACCGGCTGTACCAGGGCATTGTATGTGAAAGGTTCCGTCACACGAGCCATAGCTACGTCGAATCCACCCTTCGAAACGTTTGGGTGTTGAACTACCTGACTTATACCTCGATACTGAATGTCTGGATGAATGTCTGTACGATCTGTAACGCCTGCCAAGACGTATATGACTCCCACGGACTGTGAGCTGAGAAGGGACGAAAAAGTATTATATCCCGCATCAACAATTTATTGGCTTTTAATTGGTTGACAGCTCGTCACATGACCATATATATTTCAACTCTTTTTAGAAAGTGCTATTAATATGAGAGTACTATTTGGGAGTAGAAGTACTATTTGGGAGTTGACATTTAATTTTTTTTTTTTTTAAATAAAAATAAATCAATTATTTTGATATGTTTTCATTTGTAATTCTTTTTTAATAAAAACTGTAATTGTTAAAACTTAGAATGTTCTAAATTTCAATAACAATTTTTTTTTAAACCATAAATTTTTGATCCAGGATATAAAACAAATATACCATGCCTTCTTTTCGAGGTACTGGTTAAAACTATGGGCCTCGGTGACTCCAAAAGTACCATTTGCTTTGCCCCTCAGCAAATAGTACTATTGGAGTCACCTCTTGCGCATAGTTTTAACCAGAACCTCTCAAGACATATATAGTGTATATTTGTATATTATTAGTAGAACAGGTAGTATTAGTTTAGCTTTTGCAAATACGTTCATGTCAGTCAAAACGTCGAATGGAAGTAAAGGTGTGATATACGACAAACCTGGCTACGGTAGTTAGGTATTTCTTTGAAAGTAAACTGCTTGTCTATGATGACATCTAAAGTTTATATGTTCCTTTTGACGTCCATAATTTACTTAAATTATTAACACTGGGAAATATAGGTTTACTTCATCTTCAGACGATACATTCACGTATGTTGAAAACAAACCAAATACTCGCAAACTTGCTGAAAGGCATCGGAAAGTTTTCGCCAACGAGAGAAGTCTGAAACGCTTTTGCACGTAAACAAAATAGAGCTAGAACTTTCACACATTATTGGCTCGGGACCGCAAAGTCTGGTGATGACGTATAGGTCACGTGATTTGCAAGTTCGCATAGTTGGGGGGCAGTTCTTGGAGGCGGGGCTAAATAGCGTGGGAAATCATTATGATTAATGAAGGAAAAGCAATATAAATAATTTAGCACTCATCAATTTATGATAGGAATATTGTCTATATTTCGATTGCAGTACAAACGTTTTAGTTGTAATTTGTTAACATGTGATTTAAATACACTGAATCAGAATGATGGTTGTATCAGTTGTATATTGTGGACTTACTTTATACAGTGAGCTGCAGTGATAATCCAATTCTTGTTGATAATTGAACCTCCACAATGAACTCCCTGTGTGGAATTGGACTCTAAAAACGGATATATAATTTTTATATAGTTACCTAGGGTTTAAATATCTCATTTCGTTCGTCACGTCCTATTTTCCTCTCTATCTCCTTTTTTGCTTGTTCCCTCTCTCTCTTTCCTCCCAATCCACTCCACCCTTTCCACCCTTTGCGGTTGCCATCCCTCTTCCACCCCTCCCCCGGCATCCAAGCGCACTTTCTTTTCTTCTTTATATATCTCACTGACTCACTCTCATTCTCTCTCCCACGCTCTACCTCGCCCCTCTACCTCTTTTTTCAGTAATTGAAAGCGGTGAACTGACTTCCAGAGTTTAGATCCCCCCCAAAAAAGACGTGTTTTTATCTAACCACTTATATGAAAACATACCCTACTTACCAGTTAGTAATACCTGCCACGGCCACGCCCCTTTTTGATCTGCCAATCTTCCGCCTAAGATCTTGGCTGCTTTTGCAGGCTTGGTGCCACAAGCTAAACAAGAAAGAAAAGAAGAAAGAACAAATGTTACTTAAAGATATAATAAACATTTTGATGTGGTCTGAAATATAGTTTTATTGTCACCGCGGTATGAATAGCATAAGATCATAAATATCATCATAATACAGGCTTGGGTGTTTTTTAAAACACATTTCATACTAATATCACTACCCTAACAAGTTTCTAGTCACTTCATTGACTGGTGTTTCACCGTGAATTTTCAACTTACAATCTCAACAGAATATCAAAGTATTTAAGAGTCGGGAACTTTAATATTAACATCCACATTATTACAGAGAATTATCATCATCAACTGATGGTTTTTATCTTTCTTCGTATCAAGTCTGGGGATGTAGATAAAGGGGTTCTATATTTTGTGTTTGCGGGGGAGGGGAGGCATACGCCCCTTTGCCTACACTCCTAACTGGGATAACATTACATTGTGATAAATTTTAGAGATATGAATAATATCCTTACTGCAATGTTCATCTGCTCCATTGGCACAGTCCTCTTTACCGTCGCATACGAAATATGAGTTGTCATCCAGATCAGAGCAGCTATCTAATATGAGGAATATTAATGCAATATACATGTATATAATGTGATAGGAACCTTACACTGATTCATGTACATGTACTTGAATTAAAATACACAATATTAAAATACACTGAAGGAAATGAATATCAATGACAATTTGACGAAGATATTATCTTTGAAGATATTTCATCTTTGATGCCTTCGCGTTTTTATTTTTTATTTCTTCTTTTGACACCAACACCGCCGAGTGTTTCGTATAATTCTATGCTCTCCATACAAAACGTATAACATTAAAGTCTTCTTACCGGTGGTTTCGGTGCACGAATCCTCATCTTCACGCATTGGACAGTCACGAATACCGTTGCAAAATCTTGAAGTGGGTATGCACGACATGTCTGAGGTGCATACGTCTTTTCCTTCAGGGCATGGTGCTAAGATGGAAATCATTACACACAGATTGAAAGAGAGAAGATATACAGTATATATATATATATATATATTATATAGGGAGAGAGAGAGAGAGAGAGAGAGAGAAAATTACAGCATTCCAGAAGTTAAGAATCAGAACGTTCAATAGATGCTCCATCAAACATGACAAAGTTGTGGTTTATTCTTTTGTAGCCTATACCTTGCACTTTGATGACGCACACGATTACATTTTAAGACGAGTATAACGATTGCTTTAAGCTCTGGCAAGAGCCGAACCCCACAACAGATGATTTCGTTGAATACTATAGGAAGGGCTACCCATGTTACATTTTGGTAAAAGTGTCACATGGGCATCATTGGAGTTTTAATCGAGGCCGCTGCAGGTGAGATTCAACAGTTAAAGAGGTGTTTCATTACGAGACTACGTGGCTTTCCAGTGGCCTGACTCGGGGCTAATCGGGTATTCACGTGCGGGCAACATACGCGAAACCGAAGCGAGATAAAAAAAAAACTTCGGTCTGCTTCGCAAACGCTAACACGCGCTTATCGTTATAATCAAGTCCATTCGTTTACGTGCAGATGTCTAAAAGAAGTCGTAGACGGCGTTAACTATATTTTGCCATGCTACACCCCCTTTAAGTGTCACAATTATACCCTCTACTTTACATCTCTACTGCATGCTCACATGATGTAGGTGTTACTTCGGTGCTGCATCCCTCCTCATCCTCACCACTAGCACAGTCTGCGTTACCATCGCAACGAGCCTCCAGACCAATGCACTCCCCGCTGCTACACGATGTGCAGTTGGTGGTATCTGGCATTTCTTACAATAAAGAATAAGGACAAAAATACCGATGCATATTGTTTAAATAAATGTACAATGTGATCAGTATTTGTCAAATAAATATGTACAAAATATTTTGAAAGTAATTATTGCGTTTACCTTCTCTTTGTGAAATAGAGCCCAGTTTGTATTGCGAAAATTCAATTTATCTGGAAATGCCTCATTTTTGCAAGACAAACGAACACAGCAAAATTTCTAATAGACCCTACTTTTAAACTCAGTCGAAATTTTGCTGTGGAAAGCCATCCATAAGGTCATTATCATTTATGATTAAATGAATATTAGACCATATGATAGTAGACAAAACAATGGGCATTAGGCCAACTTGGAATTAGACCGACTGGAAAATTAGACTAACGAACAATAGACCATATGGAAGTAGATTTATTGGAAATTAAACCAAATGACTATAAACCGAAATGGTCACTACACCAAATGATAAGTATACGAAATAAACCAATTGGGTGGTAGACGAACTGGATGTAGACCTTATGGATATAGACCAATTGGGTAGTAGACGAACTGGGTATAGACCTTATGGGAAGAGACCAGTTGAGTAGTAGACGAACTGGTTAATTAGTCTGAGTAGTAGACGAACTGGGTGTAGACCGTATGGGAAGAGACCAGTTGAGTAGTAGACGAACTGGATGTAGACCAATTGGGAATAGACCAATTGGGTAGTAGACGAACTGGTTGTAGACTATATGGGAAGAGACCAAAAGGGTAGTAGACGAACTGGTTGTAGACCATATGGGAAGAGACCAGTTGGTAGTAGACGAACTGGATGTAGACCATATGGGAAGAGACCAGTTGGTAGTAGACGAACTGGATGTAGACCATATGGGAAAAGACCAATTGGGTAGTAAACGGACTGGGTGTAGACCATGTGGGAAGAGGCCAATTGGGTAATAGACGAACTGGGTGTAGACCATATGGGAAGAGACCAATTGGAAAGTAGACGAACTGGGTGTAGACCATATGGGAAGAGACCAATTGGGTAGTAGACGAACTGGATATAGACCATATGGGGAAGAGACCAATTGGGTAGTAGACGAACTGGTTGTAGACCATATGGGAAGAGACCAATTGGTAGTAGACGAACTGGTTGTAGACCATATGGGGAAAAGACCAATTGGGTAGTAGACGAACTGGTTGTAGACCATATGGGAAGAGACCAATTGGGTAGTAGACGAACTGGGTGTAGACCATATGGGAAGAGACCAATTGGGTAGTAGACGAACTGGGTGTAGACCATATGGGAAGAGACCAATTGGGTAGTAGACGAACTGGTTGTAGACCATATGGGAAGAGACCAATTGGGTAGTAGACGAACTGGTTGTAGACCATATGGGAAGAGACCAGTTGGTAGTAGACGAACTGGTTGTAGACCATATGGGGAAAAGACCAATTGGGTAGTAGACGAACTGGGTGTAGACCATATGGGAAGAGACCAATTGGGTAGTAGAAGAACTGGGTGTAGACCATATGGGAAGAGACCAATTGGATAGTAGACGAACTGGGTGTAGACCATATGGGAAGAGACCAATTGGATAGTAGACGAACTGGATATAGACCATATGGGAAGAGACCAGTTGGGTAGTAGACGAACTGGTTATATACCTTATGGATATAGACCAATTAGTAGACGAACTGGGAATAGACCAGTTGGGTAGTAGACGAACTGGGTGTAGATTTACCTGAGCCAGACTCTTGAGTACAGTTGTCCTCATCAGCTCCGCCTTTACACTGCCTGACGCCATCACACACCAGGCTTGGTCGCAAACATTTACCACCGCAAGAGAACTCTTCAGCTGGGCAACTCGGTATTGTTTTATTAGCTAGAAGAGAGAAAAATGTATTGCAATAATTGTTCTTGACATCATTATAGAACTCCGATACACGCCATAACATCTCGCTATCCCTAAACAAATATATTCATATAATATAGAGTATCGTGCAAGCTGCGAGGGTCGGAGACGGGAAGGGAGGGGGCGGGGGTACTGGTCTGAACAAAAAAATAGTGGTGCCTCGGACGAGTGTATCCCCTTCTCCTTCTCCTTCTTCCTCTTATTCTTCATCTTGTTCTTGTTCTTGTTCTTGTTCTTGTTCTTCTTGTTCTTGTTCTTGTTCTTGTTCTTGTTCTTGTTCTTGTTCTTCTCCTTCTTCTTCTTCTTATCCTTCTACTTCTTCTATTTCTTACCCCCTTTCTCTTTATTTCACACTCTTTTTCTTTCTTTCACACCTTGTACTTCAGGAGTGCCACGAAAAAGAGCAAAGAACAAAGGTGAAGGCAATTTTTTTTCCAGCAAAAAGTGATTAAAAAAAAGAAGCTCTTATGCGGTATACACAACAAACCATGTATTTCACATCCTTTTAATTGCGATGAGAATAAGTATCATAAAGTAATGGGAATGTTCTTTATGTCAAGTTGTTACATTAATACCCACCGCAGTCCGCTTCGTCGTCTCCTGTGAAACAGTCTTTATGTCCATTGCAGACCTTTTCTACCGCCAGACATTGGAAAGAGTCGCATTGGTACAACTTATCGGGGCACTCTGCGTGAAATAAAGAAGAAACCATTCACCTATGTAGAATATATTGACATTTTCAGTCTGTTATAACATGATATACGAGCATTCGTTATCACCCTTGAATACTCCCTGATATAATTTCAATAGATGATGATCCATCGCTCTTTCCTATCTAGCAACTAAACCGCCCGAAACCGCCCCTCCTTTTACTCACTGAACCGCCCAAAACCGGCCGTCCGTTTTCGTCCTTTTTCAACTGTATATAGTATCCGTTCTAGGGTCTACCATTATAATGTTATACGTGTGTAATCCTTACGATGGCTACAGTAGGATTCTAAATAGAAACTTAGCGCATGTTTCATATTGTTCAGTGAAAGGTCAAAATGAGAGCAATATTGCAACATCTTCCAGTGAGTAATAGGCGATTTTTTACAAAATCTGTAGTTGCTAAAATTCCTCTTATACCCCTTTCAAACTGGCCTGATTTTCATCGGATGCATCCGGACGCATCCAATTAAACGGCCACTATGAATGGTACAGAGGAGAAAAAGCCGATAGAATAGCCGATTAAAACAAGAGAAGTACTTTAATACAACTTTCCATGATTATTATTCTATATATTCCTATTGTTAAAGATAATAAAAAAAATAAAAAAAAATTAATCATTCAAAAATTCGAATTTTCAACATACCTGGACAATCTTGTTCGTCTGAGCCATCCCCACACGTATCGTTACCATCACATCGCTGCCAGTATGGAATACAAACTCCATCATTAGGGCATTCAAACTGCCAGCTCTTACAAGCTGCAAAATTATAAGAAAACAAAAATAATTTCTGATATAAGATCTGATTACAATCATCGCATCAGCATGATCAGGGATCGTTTCACAAGACTTGTCATCAGTGACAAATGACAGTTTTTTGTTATAAGCTACTGAAATCCTTGCTTCTGATTGGTAATCAGCAGATAAGTCACCGATTTTTGTCATTTTTCGTTGATAACAAACTTTGAGAAGCGCCCCGGACAACTATATAACCCCAAAGGTAGCCACTCTTAGGAGACAGTTACTTAAAGCACATTTATCGCTAGGACATGTATATCATGTAAACAACCATTTCACTATAGGTAAATCAACCCGAAGCAATTATCCATTGCTATTGCCATATTAGTAAGATGGGCTAAAAGACGGAGCAAACTCACTCACAAAGAAACACACGATTTAATTGTGATAAAAGTGTTGTAGCAGAAAGACAAAGTAAATAGAGGGAAACGTGAAGTCTAAAGGGATGCTTATTTTGTCAGGGAAAACAGGAACACGGAAGGAGCCATGGAGATAAATGAATAAATCAAAAAGCAAGTCAGCGATAAATAAAATTACATGTGAGACTTGTGAGTACTTACAGCAGTCGGCTTCGTCCTCTCCTCCCGGGCAATGAGGATAGTCATCACAAACATTATTCCTGTAGATACAAGGTCCATTAGGACACTGCCACTTCTCTCCCGTACATTCTACAACAAAATACAATGACAATTTCACTTAACGTTAACTTTATTTACTATTGTATCTTGCGAATTTCGGCCTCATCGAGAATGAACTCTTATATTTTAATCCAGTTCCTAATTGTTAAAGGTAATACAAAGTTTTGGTACGGGGTCATGAATTTGGTTCTAATGAAAATATTGGAAGCATATGCAATCCTACAATATTCAGTGATCGTTGTCGCGGTTGAAATCGAGTCTAAAGTTATGAAATTGTAAATAATAAACTCTTTATGTTGTATAGCTCCCTCTAAAGGTCAAGATATTAATTAAGCTATAAAACAATGTTTCTTGACTAAAATCGACCGACTAACTATTCCCGTTAGTAAATATATATCACAACTACACATTCTGAGATTTTCATGGTCGCAGCTACCATTGTGCGGCCGTAGGCGCTATTTCAAATTTATCAAAATTTACCGGGAGCACCGGTAAATTTTTATATTAAATCTTTCTCCAAAGCTGAAGTGTTTTAGGGGCTAAATTTTCTAGTGCTTATAATACATCCACAGGGACATCCAAATATATAAAAATTGTAAAGAATCACTATCCACTCAATTTTCGAAATTTCCCAAAACTTTGTATTACCTTTAACGATTCGATTGATTGAATCAGAGTATTTTTCTACGAATGTTAACTTGGTAAATTCAGTGGTAAACCTCGACATTTGATGGGGGTTATATCCTATGTTTATTTATCAATTAATATGTAGTAATTAATGCATTTATATTACCAATGGTTTCCATTCCGGCTACATTGAAGTCAAATTCAAACCAACGGTACTCTTGTTTGTTGTTTGTTTTTGTACTTGTATTTCCGTTAATTAATAAAACAAAATACAAATACAAAAAATGCATAATTTAAAAGAAAAATGAAATATTATACAAGAGAGATACAAATGAAACACAAGACTGGTAACCAATAAGCAGCTGCAACATTATATTGTTGCTGCTGGTGTTCCACGGGGCCAGAAAACTGAAAGATCTGGCAACGTCTTTGTATCATGTGTGACTGCTCGTCCTCATAAATAAATACTACATTAAAGTGATTTACCGCAGTCTTGTTCGTCTGTATAGTCTGTGCAATCATTTATCCCGTCACATAGGAACGCATGAGAGATGGAGTAGATGCCATTATCACACTCAAAACCTGTGAAGAAAATAATGATGATAAAAAAGGACGCGCATCCAACATGAATGCCTGTATGATTTTGTGTAAGTATGAATATAGAAACGAAATCGATCTCAAGGACAATTTCAGTACCCTGTTGAGTGATGTCAAGTTCGGTGTCTAAAGCTGGTGTTCGTGTTGTGAGAACACCAACATCAGCCCCAACACCAAACTTGAATTGAGGCCGGTGTTGGGATTGACCTTGGAAAATATGACGTATTTCCGGTAGGCAGTTTTGAAGGTCGTTGAATATCGTCTGCTAAACCGAGTATCGCGGTCGGTGTTAACGATTTACGTATAATTTTCCCATGTACCAACACCAGCCCCTAGGGATTGGGAAATTCATGATTTCCAGTTCGGTGTTGGTGTTGGTGTTGCAGCATACCGCAGTTACCTATGCGGGCATCGCTGTCACGAATCTCACGATCATGCCAAGGTAGAATCCATTGTACAGTCAATAACTGTAAATCATGGGAGCTATTTATGTTTTTCAAGATCAATTTTCTATTAATTTTTTTGTATAAGACTTTAGATTTGATATTTGTATGATGAAATTTGAATGTTATTTGGCCCTTATTTCTCTTTCATCGTCGAGACTTTTGGCGTGAAGGTGTGACGTCACTCGGTGTGGAACTATCGATAGAGTGATAGGTGTCGTCTTTCTATAACAAATATAAAAAAACTGACCACCGGTGTTGGAGCTCGGTTCAGCAGCCTTTCCACGCTCTCAACACTAACAGTAACACCAACACCAAAAACCGAACTTGAACTCACTTTGAATGTCCAATACAAATTATGCTCGAGGTACGTAATACGTCATTGCAATGTTCATACATTTCAATAGGTGATGCGCAATGCTATTAAAATTGCCTAAAATTAAAGGTTGATTTTTCGAAAGTAGCTGCTATCGCGTTCTCTTCACTTCAGCTGAGTAACGAGGTAGCCTCTTTCTCCCACACCCCTCATACGTCTCTCCAATCTAATGATCGTTATTCTTAAAACTGCATATTCTCCCAATATTATTATTACATGATTTTCAACTCTGTGTTTTTATGTATTCACATTACCATATAACTTATTACCAGAAATTTTCTGTAATATGTTTCGGAGCAATAATGATATTCATAGATATAATACCAGGACTTCAGCAGACACTTGTGTAATACAATGTATATGGTCATTCTTCATTTTCAAATAGTATCTTTTAATGCCAAGGACCCACTATTTGGAACAAACTACCCCCTAAACTTAAACAGTGTGCATCTTTAAACAGTTTTAAGCATCATCTAAAACTTCACCTGATACAGAAAATTTGAATTTGACAAAACGCAATTTTTATGTGTGTAATTACCATTGTAGTATTGAATTTTCTTTGTCCCCCTTTTTTTTTGTGTGTGTACATTTTTAGGATCATCTATCTATAAGTTTTTGTAACTTTTTTGATGATCCAACCACTTCGTAATTTCCTTTAGTGCATTTTCCATTTTAGTGGTTTATCTATGTTTGCAAGAAACTATTGTATTCTTTGCCTTTTTATGTTTTTATGAAAGTGGTGAATAAATTCAATTCAATTCAATTCAAGTAAAACAGTGAAAATGAATACAATCGATCATAACTTACCACAATTGTGTTCATCATCTGAGCAGTCTACTATGCCATCGCACGTGCGTGTGCGTTCAAGACATCTCCCATCAGAGCATTTAAAGAAGAAAGGATTCGAACATGCTGAAAAGAGGACAAAACAAACATCAAATACAGATCGAGATTGATTCCGATGAGGTCATTTAGGTTCAATGAACCATGCTCCGCAGTCAAGTTCTAACTCCAATCAAATTCTTAAAAGGAAATCCAACCTTAGTATCAAACTTATCGAATAGGAAGTACAAAGTCAAACCGGTGAAAGTTTGAATGTAATCAGACAAACAATAGTTTGTGAAATTTGTAATCACTATACGTATGGGAACTTAAAATCAGACAAACAATAGTTTGTGACAGTTCACTGTACCACGTATGGGAACTTAAAATAGGCTAAATCCCTAATGTCGTTGTGATGTAGTGCCGGACTGATTATTCAATCACACATGTCATTTCTGCCCATATTTTGATATCCAGTGTCATAATGATAATAATCATATCAACTGTTTCTTATAAGGCGCTCTACCAGTCACAACGTAACCGACCAAAGCGCTTATATTCAGTATTATCCTGTACACTGGATTATGATACAATGTTGTGCTTTGTAGGGCACACTCTCCACTCCCTTGGGGAGCATTTCAGCCAATGGCCTTTTCTGGGCGCGCACGTGCTAAATCCAACTACACTGACGTTCGCGACCTACTTATTCCTGATTATAAGTTTAAGCAAAAAACAACATCCTGGAATGTTAGATGCGATGCACATATTATATACATTAGTATATTCTGGATTACTTACTGATACATACAGCTTTTGCATTTTCAAGAATTGAAAATTAATTAGAATTTCAGTGCAATATTTTAAGAAAGGTATTTAAAGAAATGTTTAAAAAACTTGCTCCCCCCAAATTAGACTTCCTTCAACTTTAGAATTCGAAGATATCAGCCCGGTTTGAATTACATTTTTTGACTTATTAACAATCAAAGCGTCAGTTTTTTTTGGGGTGGTTTGTTTTCTTCCTTGTTTTCTTTTCGATGTTTACCTAAGATTTCATCTTCATACGATAATTTCTTTCATGTTAATTACCAAGATACTACTGCATCAAAATAAAGTACGCAATAAGGCAACACATCGGACTGGAATTAGTTGGTGTTCTGAGTTGACCTTCTTAACATCTGTTCACCATGTTTAAAACTGTAAGCATATCCGCTGTATTGTTTAGAATTCATCTTCCAACGACTTTGATGAAGAGCATCGGTGAAATCTATCAAATTGTCTTTTACCAAAGCAGCTGCATGTATCTTAATATTGATTTGAAAAGAATGAGCTACCGTCTGTCAAGTAAATCACGTTCAAGTAAAACTCACAGCAATATGGCTTACAAAGTATTTGCATCGATTTGACATATGGGTCAACGTCTCAGCTGATACTTCAAATGCTTTTTCCTCCAGTAAGAGAGAGAAAAAAACACTATGTTCAGCCGAGAGCAAGAAATAGATAGGCAGGGAAAACATGATTCAAATTGTGAATGTTTAAGTTACTGTAATTTGTAGTGCTAAAAATAAACATGTAGTCTTTTTTGTTATTAAATATACATTACAGCGGAAAGGGAAATAGAGTGAAAGTTGTGAGAAAGTTTCTACGATTATTTCTTTTGACCAAAATCTATTCTTTGTTCATTTTCATGGTTATTTATCTGCTCTCAACACTTCAGATACACGATGCGGGGTTTCATGTGAAATATTGTAAAGTAAAAAACGGAGCGGCTCTCATGAGAGGGTACATCGAGGAGGGGGGGGGGGGGGGGGGGGTGGTATCCTCAATTGATTAATGCACCTATACTCACCGCAGCCGATCTCGTCATGTCCTGATATACATGTATAGCTACCATCGCATGAATGAGATTCGTTGTAGCACTCCTCGACGTATTTGCAGGATTTCTCCCCTGCACTGCACCGAAAGACGGCATCTGAAATAAAGATTTCAAATGTAAAATCACTTTTTTTTCCACAATTAATGTACACATTATTGAAGAAAATATTGAGTTCCGAGGTGAACAACTATTAATGTGCCTCCTCGTTCTTTTAATTCCAATATTACGCTGGAATATGATGGCAGCAATGTCACATGCAATTTTAAATATGACCACTAATAATTAAAACTGGACTAAATTTTGATACCCTATGCGTGCAATCCCTATACCAATATATGTATGCAGTGTTTCATTGGTTTTTGTGGTTTAATGTTGATGGCTCCATAATTTTACAGTATTCTTTTTCTATTTAACTTTTCTCAATCGCTTTAAACAGCTTACTTCATAATGCAATTGCATGTTAGTATTAAAACATGGTCACTGAACAATACGAAATATTGGTATATATATGGTTTGAATCATATATATTACTAGTATACATGAAAATGAGATGCACTGTATTGACAAAAAAAGGTATCATGTATCACAAAAAGTAAGTGAGGAAAAGTACAATGAATTTGTTTTGAAGTCTCAAAGCGTCATTCACGAATTACTGTGGAACAATGAGCAGGAATTGAATAAAATATTAATAATGAAAGAGAAAATTTTCCAAACAATAGACAGGTCGTATGTGGAGAAGAAAAACTATCAAAAAAACATCAGGAGGCAACAACCAATAATTAAGGAAGAAAAACAATGACAAGGATAAGGAGAAAGAAGAAATTGAAGAAGAAGAAGAAGAAGAAGAAGGGGACGAATACGAATAATAAGGAGTTCGAAGAAGATGAAGATAGGAGAAGAAAACAGATGAGAAGAAGCAGCAGAAGAAGAAGAAGAAGAAGGTGAAGAAGAAGAAGGAGAAGAAAATGAAACATAAGAAGAAGGAGGTGACGAAGAAGGAGAAGAAGAAGAAAAAGGAAAATGAGGAGAAGAAGAAAAATAGTAAGGGAACAAACAAAATAAGAAAGAAAAAAGGAAGGAGTAGATTGTGATGAGAGTATAATGAAGATTTTGTCTGAGCACTTGCACTCTCGAGGTCGGACTACGGTAGATGTTCGCTTGAGGTATTACTAATACCCCAACCTAACATCCGCGGTAGTCAAGCCTTGGACCTGGGCAGACTTCAACGTCTCCAGAATAAGTGTGCTCGACTATAAATCCGTTGACTACTGAACTTCGCTCATTGCCATAGGCTTAATACATAAACCACCCGGTTCCAGGAAGCAATGGGTTAAAGCTGTCGTGAAAACGTTCCATGCTACCTCATTGTCAAACGAGCTACACTGGCTTCCAGTATCTATAGACTTCAATATCGGATACTTGTTCCAACCTCTAAATCTATGTCAACCACATTTAGTCTTTACATCTCTTCAATCTTTCAGCAGCAGCAGAGAACATCATAATTCACTTCAGTCGACTCCTTTCTTTCACACTTCTAAATCATTTTAGCTTCAAATCCTTTTAATCCGTTTACCCACGTCTATGGAATAAAGTCCCTGCATTTCCATTTTTTTTCTCCCAGAAATAGTGCCAAGTTTGAACGAAATACAATTGCCATTTTTGAGATATCTGTTCCAAAAAATTGTACGGGGTAATAGTATATTTGTAAAGCGCTTAGAGACATTCGTATTAAGCGCTTTATAAAAGTTAAATATTATTATTATTATTATTATTACGGGAAAAAAAGAAGAAGATTGTGACAAATATTAGAGGTGATATTATGTACATTCGTATAGGCCTACGTACGACCTAATAATATTGTGTTTATTTTTTTTATTTGAAACTTATAAACAATGCATACAACTACCCCTTTTACTCCCTCCTCTCGACAAGTACAAAGTATCTCCGATAAGGATATTTTCACCCGGGGTTTTACACTCTACGCTTTACAATAAATTGGAAGTTTTTACTTATTATCTGATTGAGTAACGCCTAACTGAAAAGCACTGCTTCCATAATTGTACATTATGGTACCACTTGTTATCGTACTTGTTAGTCAGGGCTATAAGCTCGATTTTCTTACGTTACTTTGATAATTGCTCAGCTATCAAAATAAATAAAAAAAGTATCGTTTGTTTTTATCTGTAAGAATTCACTTTCTTACACTCACGATATAAACAATTACTTTAAAAAGCCAAAACCTCACATTTCTTGAGCAATACATTGAGAAAGAATGCAAGTTTGAACAAGTATAGAAAAGATACTAACAGACAGTTTCAGCTGAGCGCCCATTACTATGATAAGTTAAGTACGTGTACTTTTGTCTACATTGTAAGAAAGGGAGGGACAATATAAACAGCACCACCGCATGTTTCTTTTTTCTTTCCCTTTTTGATTTTTTGATTTATTGAGATTGGTCACAGTTTATATCTATCCTCCTTTCATTACAACAAATTATTTCACTGGGGCCTACAGCTTTACAAGCTTGCTTTCATGTAGGTTCCATCATATTTCTCTCAGTTAAATCTGTACTCTATATTGATCACATTTATATCTTTATGTTAATTATTACGTAATATTGATTGTTATTTTATTACACCAAAAACAACTTGTACTTTATTTTGAAATATATATGTAACATGAGAAATATGAAAATAAATGAAATGACATACTCACCGCTGTCATGTACAGCCTTGACCATTGCATGGAAACCAGATTCAGTTGAGACGCTGTCACTGAAAAGTTGAACCCACAATGCATTGCCTGTGGATGTTATGACAGGTGGAAGGTCATATCCGTTGAATGAAGCGATGTAATCGACCTCCGTTTCGTTTGAACTACCAATCCTGACCATATCGTATTCTTTGAAAAATAAAGAAAGAGACGATTTTTAAGCATGACTTCATATTTCCTACTCTTTTAACAAGCCTGCATTGATCATGGTAGAAATTTGCATTTGTATTATGATCACGTGATATCACATCATAAATATTAGCGAATAAGCAATGTAAAACAGGCGCACACGCACACACACGCACACTCACATACGCACACACAAGAAGAAGGTGATGGTTTATATAATATAAATAGTGATATAGGTAGAGGCCCTGGAGAAAAAGAGAGAGAGAGAGAGAGAGAGAAAGAGAGAAAGGGAGTGAGTGAGGGAAAGACGAGTTGGGAGATGGGGCTTCAAAAGAAGACAGATCATTAGGTAATTAATACGAACGATATTTGCTAATATTGTACTTATATTACCAAAGTTTGAAGAAGTCCCCTAAACCAACCCCACCAATACTTACTATATTCAGTTCGCATATCTATGAACTCTATCCGGACCCGATAATTCTCCGGAACGACAATGATCCAATACTCTCTGCTCATATCCGGGTAGTTTGCCGGGTAGCCGGGTGATGTGAGCTCGTAAGTTTCTTCTGACTTGAGGTAAACTGTAGAAATATCAGAGAATACATTATACGAGAAAAAAATAAAACACATTAATTTATTATGTTGCTGATATGGCAATGTGTTGACCTTTGTATGTTCCGTTGTAATGCATTTTATTTGTTCAGACATTTAGTATTAAAAAAACCAAACATGTCTAGGGATGCAGCAAAAAGGTTTGAAAACCCCGTACAGGGCTGCTTCCCCAATAAAAACGATGAGATTGGCAACCTAGAGATGTACGAGTAGTGTGCGTATGATGGTAAAGATATAACAAGATAAATGATTAAAAAAAAAGGAGATAACAAAATAAACATTACATAGGTAAATATGAATAAAAACACACAATAAAACTCGATAGCATGTGAACTTAAAACTCATGAAAACAAATCATTACACAAAAATAATCAGAGAGTTGAGTATTAAATGCACGAAGGTGTCTTTATCAGGTCAGACATAATTTATTCAGACATTTCAGACAGAGTATGACAAGGTAAATTCCAATCATTGGCAGTTCTTACATAAAATGAGTACTTGTATTAATCACTTTTTGCGAAAGGCACAACCATGCATCTTCGCGTTTAATGGTCATTAATTTTTTACTGCGATGTCTTATTCTATTCACTGCACGGTGGACTTCTTTGACTGACATTAACTATATTATTAATAGTCTGAATAATCTTATGAACCTAAGCATAGATTTGATGAACCTTTTGCTTTAAACAATAAAGTAGCGGCATATTTGAAGAAACTGTGACTCTCTAAAATCTTAGAAATGGAATGAGGCACTTTTCTTTGATGCCCAGCTGGCAAATAAGGATTATGATATCATCCAAATTTGATAAACATGTTTGATATCAAATTGACAAATAATATGACCAAACAATAATATTCTACATACAGTTCTTTAAAAACAGAAGAAAAAAAAGAAGACAGATTTAAGGAGAAACTTAATGTGATGAAAGTTCGTTAAATAATAAGATAATGTTAATCGAAACTCAGTTAGCAAAAAGGAGGAGTATATTTACAAGAACATGAATGCTTGTTTGGTGAAACATAAATCATTTGCTTGGCTGAAACAAGGGGGAGGTCATTAGTATCTGTTAGGTTGTGGATTGTCTCGTCAATACATGAAGTATAGAGATTTGATTTTTTTTCTTCTCCAAATGTAAACATTTAGTTGCCTGTTCTCGAGATCGATAATGGGTGACGCGTTTGACATGAAATCCCTTGATAAAAAGAGGTTGATCATTATTTCAAGGAATAAAAAGTGTATTGTCCTCAAAACGCGCCGGAATCATTCCAAGACAATTGTTTTTTTCTTAATGTGCGCCCTACAGTCCGAAGCCTTGACCCTGAAATCATTCTGTCGGCTTTACATCTGCTCATACTTCCGAACCAAAATATATCCCTGTTGTCAATGCTAATGTAGCATGGTTCCCAGATCAGGATATTATATTTCTTTGGAGAAGACAGCACATTATTCAAAGAGGGGTATGTGGGCAATGAACCCCCCCCCCGGATCCCCCCCCCGACTAACTCAAAAGTAATAACTTACTTTGCAGTTACGTGTGGTAGTTTATGTAAGGTAAACAATCATCAATTTTGCTGTAATAACCTATTTAATCATGAACATGTTCCCCAAAACTTTTGCCTGGTCGCAATGCATCCTCGTTAAACAGTACTTCTAAGGGAAGAGGAGAGGCAACTAAAGATAAAGCCCGATAAAAAAAAACGTGAACGCTGCAATCGAGTTTGGAATTAAAACAATTTGGAATGTTAGGACTAGATAAGATGCACCTGACGTAAAACTACAATACAATACGCGTACATGCGCTGAGTACCGCTATAAAATGTATAACTTTATCTTGCAAATTTGTAGTATTATTTTCGAATCGGTCATAAAATGTGCCAAATTAAGAAGAGATGGGAAAAAGGAATGTACATTGCCTTACCCTACCCTCTTCCTTCTGTTAAGGCAAATAAATTATCTGCGGTCACTTTTGGCTTAGATGTATTAACCATACTCCCCCAATGTGTAGATACGCCCCCGGAAGTTAGGAAAACATGATTCGACTGAAATACCACTATTATGTCTGCATTCTAAAGTGTCAGGTGATCGAAATGATCACCAACATATTGCCAAAGACACACACCCCTTCTTGTCCTAAATCCAGGCCATATAACCGGGTTCTTGCTTTCAATATTGACCATGTGAAAGTTTAGACTTAAAAGATCCCTCTCATTTTTTGCCTAAAGATGAGATTTCTCATAATGTTCACCTTTTAAAATATGTTTCACCAAGGAGAGTATTTACAGTGTACATAGAGAAACTTCCCTTTCAATATGTATCCATCCGTTTCCCTCCGCGATCTTTGTATTTCTAAGATAGTTGCCAACGTTTTCTGTTTACGTTTTTTTTCTCACGCTTGTATGTGTACCTTCTCCCATGCAGTAAAACAGGGCATCAATACTTACTTGCTTCTTTGATCTTATCTGGCTGCATATTTCCATCGTCTGTATTTGGGGTTCTTCGTGTTCCTTTAAAGAACACAAGATTTGAGAAAAGCTGTTAAGAAAAGCAGTGAAATCGAGGAAGGACAACAAAATAACAAACAATTGTAAACTTTGAAAAGGTTACCACTGTATATGTCAATAAATAGGATCTTAGATTTCTTTACGAGTTAAAGAACATTACTTCTGATTAAGAATATATTAACTTCATAGTTGTATATTAAAATATCATTTCATATCCTACAGCGAAATCAAAATTCGTCGAACTGTGCATTCATGAATTATGGTTACTTCAACACAGCAAAGCAAAGTTTGAAGCAAACATCTGAAAGGCCTACAATGACTTGATTTTTTCATTTGCGAAGATATTAATTTATTTACCAAATCCATGAAATCGTATTTATCAAAACTCGACAAAACCACCGCCATTGTGGAAAAATGAAGTTCGGTTTCTTAATACAAGTACCAGCGTGAATCTAATATTATTAATATTTACTCGTCAGTTTTCATAAACATCCCGAACTCGTACATGAACAAAAATGCTTAACATAGAAATGTCTTGTAACGAAAATGTTTATTAAATGTGTTTTGTCTTTCTGTCAAGTACATCTAAAATATTAAAGAAAAGGATGGCTATATACATAGCGGGATAACAATTACACATTAAGTGCGACTAATCATTGTGATTAAATCAGCTTACCGAATATAATGCCCAGCACAACTGCAATGGCGATAATGGCTATGAAGAAAATGGATAGCGAGATCTTGCACTTTTGTGATTGGCATCTGTGCTCATTATCCATACCATCTTCCTTCTCTTCCACGAATTGCATCCTCTCCCCATGACTGAAAAACAAGAGGGAATGAGAGGGGGCGAGAGGGCGAGAGAGGTAGATAGATAGAGAGAGAGAGAGAGAGAGAGAGAGAGAGAGAGAGAGAGAGAGAGAGAGAGAGAGAGAGATATTTATCATTGGCAGGGAAATTTAAAATGAAAGGTTTAATGCTAATAAATTTCAAAGGATATGATGTAATTGAAGTGCAGGTAGAAATTTGATGATGGTTGTGATGAATTGGGAATTATTTACGTGAAGCTCGAGTGGGGGGGGGGGGGGTCAATGACGTTTCGTGAGTTAACTCATTGAGGAGGCCCTGGAACGACAAGGGGGAGGGGGCACGTACATTGGGCAGGGGATCGCCGAACCATTCCCATAGAAATTGAGAGAAAATTATGATAAAAGACTCAATCCCATGTGCCGTTGGTTCTTATTAAAGCATCCTAAGTCCTGGTGAATAATGTCTGGAGAGAAAAATTATAATATAACATACCGTACCAAAAAAGTGTTGGAATAGCATGCCATTTCATGAAGCCTTAACAGTTTCCTAGTACATTATTATAGACAAAACATTTATAAGCACAGATCTTACCTTTCAACGTTTTCACTATCTGCCATACTGTCCTAAATCAGCTGTTATCGTACAAAATAAACTCTGGTATGTAACATATAACCTCTCAACGGGAAGATAACCCGACCTGAACAAGGGCAGTGACACTGTCAACCCCAATCACCTCTATAGAGTCAACTCGTATATGCCGCGATTAAAACTGCTACGTAGACGATCGGGAGAATTTGACAACAATGGTGACGAAAAACCAAACCATGCTAGCAGCTACATTGAGACTAGTGGCGTAATGAGCCAAAATTTTTTAAGGGGGCTGAGCCAGGAACACATTGCATGTGACTCGGTTATCAGGGAGGGGGGGGGGGTATTTACCCCCAGTGGCGGATCCAGGGGGGGGGGGCCAGGGGGGCCCGGCCCCCCCCCTTAAGAAAAAGATCATGCAAAATCACGCGATTTTTACCTTTTTGGGGGGTTGGGCCCCCCCCCCCCTTGAGAAAAAAATCATGCAAAATCACGCGATTTTTACCTTTTTGGGGGGGTAATAGAGTAATAGAGCTAGAAAATTTTACATAATATGTGGAACGTTGTTTTAAAATGCCTCTTAGACGAGATGGCATAGTGGTAGAGCAGTGTTCTGGTAATCGAAAGGTCCTGGGTTCGAAAGTAAGTCGATGCGCTAGTGCCCTTTTGTCCTTATTACCAAGTCCCTCGGATACACTCGCATACACATGTTTTCCTAGCAGTCAGGTAAAGCAAACCATCAAACCGAACCAATTTTTTGACCCTACAGGCAAATCAAAGTTTTTGTGAGAGAGCGCCGCAACCTAGCAAGAATAATATCCATTGTCTATTTGCATTGATAGTGAGACTCCTCTTTAAAGGAAACCAAAACCTTTATACTAAGTTACTTTTATTGTAAAGTTTAAAAGATTTGAATAAAATCAGTGAAAATTTGAACAAAATCGGGCAAGGAATAAGAAAGTTAGAGCTTTTTGAAATGACTAGTCACTAGAGGGCGGTATTCAATTTGATGACATCATCTGTGAACAACTCTCCTTGCCTTTTGTACATAAAATTTCACAATTTTGTTGTTTTCTTCGTATTTATTTGTGTTCTAGATCCGACTTCATAACATGTGAAGTAGAATATCATTTTGCATTCTATATCTTGCTTACAGGGGAGTACATTATCTCAATCACAAGAAAGAAGGAAAAACATGAAATTTGATGTACAAAAGGCATGGAGAGTTGTCCACAGATGATGTCATCAAATTGAATACCGCCCTCTAGTGACTAGTCATTTCAAAAAGCTTTTACTTCCTTATTCCTTGCCCGATTTTGTTCAAATTTTCACTGATTTTTTTTCAAATATCTTAAACTTTACAATAAAAGTAACTTAGTATGAAGGTTTTGGTTTCCTTTAAAGAACAATGCTTATAGGGGTATGAGAAGAGGAGGAAATCGTGATTTCATAAGTATATATTGACATATTTTGGCGTGTCTGTGTATCTGTGTTCGGGGAGGGGGAGGGGGGGGGGTAATGCCGTTACTATGTAAATTGAGACACTTTCGGTCTCGTGTAAATAATGAAAATGCATTATTTATAGTAATATAATATATTTCATACGAAATAAATTATTACAAGGGTTGGATTTCCCTTCAGTACATAGACCCCAATAGGATATGTCCTACAAAGCGTACCTTTGATGACACGTGATCACGGTGATGGTAGCATTGGAATTGATGCAAAAGAAAGTGAAAGTGGGAAACAGTAAATCGTGGAAATGCCTTTTCTTTCTGTCTTTCCTCCATCCATTTTCATCTTTCTTTCTTTCTTTCATTTCACCCCCTTTTCTCTATTTCTTTACTTTTTTGTTCTTCTATGGGCAAAGAAGTTTTTTTTTAACGCAAACTTAGCGAGACCCCTTTAAAACAATCACCGAAATACCATAAAGCCTTTTTATCCGGATGTAGCACCTGGAGTGAAAGTTCATGTCTCTTCATGTAAAGCCTCCTAAAGAAAACAACGATTCATTTGACCGTGAAAACGTCGAGACTTTCAGGAAATTAAAGAAGAACAGATCGATTTGTAATGCACTTGTCAGATAAATAAACCTCTCGACAAATTAAATTTAAAAGAAAGTAAGGTTATAACACAGTAAAAAACAGTTTTGGGAAGACTTAAAGGTCATTTCCCGACTAAATCAGTGTAAGTTGACCGATGACGTATGTATGGGATGGGGGCAGAGGGGGTACATGCCTCGCGCAGCTCTTGAAGGGGCGCAGCCGGGCGCAACCGGACGCAACCCTCCCCCGCAAAAGATAAGGGCGCATGAAAATGCAACGAAATAAAGGGAAAGGGGGAGGAAAGAAACCAAAGCCATGATCTGTAATGATTATCTGCGCCCTCAATACGTTGGGTGCAGTTCACTAGAAACAGACTTTTGGAGGGTTTATAAACGCAATAAAAAAAAAATCTTGGTCGATTTGCTCCCTCGCACATGTTACTATATGATCTTGTAATTTACAAAAGTCAACGGACGCTAGGTAGACTGTAGTTCATAAGTGCTTTTAAATGAAAACTATTATGGGGTAGACTAAACAAAAGAGGAAAATAAAGGGGGAAAAAACCGTTAGGAGAGAGAGAGAGAGAGAGAGAGAGAGGGTGAGAGGAGAGAGGTGAGATGAGAGGAGATGTAAGGTGTGAGAGAAAGAGAAAAAACAAAGAGGGAGAGAGGGAGAGAGAGAAAGAGATAGGGGGATGAAGAGCCGGAGCCAGACAGACAAGTACAGAGGGGGCGCAGCAAAGACGATCGTATACTATCATGCTTGTATGTCAATACTGGGTAAATATTTTTTCTGAATAGCGCCATCTCTGAAAGCCTTTCATTTTCTCCCCCCCCCCCCCCCAAATGAGTCGATGTTTGAGTAAACTTCTCTGTTTTTCTCTTCTTAGTGTCTATGATTTTGGACTATTATACAATATTTTACAGTTTTATTAATTCATTTATATAGAGTACCGAAGCTGTGACATCATACAAATCTATTTTTAGAATTTCTAAATTTTGTCTTCATTTTCCAAAGGAGCATACAAAATAATGTCCAAATGTCGAAAACAGATTGAATATGTTAAGTATTGACTGAGACATGACCATCTGAATAAATAGATTTCCTATAGGAACTCAGTGTTATTTTGCTCTGGTCTATATTACGACCAGATTCCATTAAAAAAAATATATATAAAATAATTGATATTCATTTTACAATAAAACTACATGGTTTTGAATTTAAAATTCGTAAACATGAGAACATTACATTGCATTCAGAATGCAAAAGAAATTACAATATGAGATATGATTTTCCAGGAATTTTAATCTACTCAGAGACCCATTTCGATGAAATGATATCGCGTGTTTTGAATGTATACAAAAGTACGGTTTTATGAATAAACGCTTTAATAATCCTAATACAATGATCTTCAACAATAATATCATAATAAGCACATACACGAGTAAGGAAGTTCAGAATACAGGGGGCGGGGCGACCGGATCATGTGCCCACTATACCCTACAGTGCATGTATAAACAGGATGCAATGACACCTTCGTGTATGATTAAAGGTTTTCGTCGTCAGGATGAAAGAATTTTACACCAATTCCTTCTTGGTAAGTGTAGACTTAATTATTACAATTACTCAATAAACAGGCATGATACGGGCCTTTGTGACAATTATTGTCACAATTTCGAAACTATCGAACATTTTTGTTATCATGCCCTAAATATGAAAGACAGAGGAATCGTATGTATCGCAGACTTCATGTGATGAATCCTAACCTAAAAAACCTACTTGGAATAGCAAAAAACTGCTCAATCATTTTAGCCTTTATAAAAGGTACTGGAAGATATACAGAATTATAAAGTGTTGTATAACATTGTGTTATCATGCTTGTGCTTATCATGCCTTAAGGCATAAACGTAACAGAGTGACGGAGGAGATGATGGACATACGAAGCCTGAATAAAATAAAATATGGCAGCCGATTATTAACTGCGCATACTATTATTAAACATAAGACACATTATTCATCATTAACACTATAAATTGACACCAAAACTTCATGATATTAATTCCAACCAGCTCTAACATTAAATGACTAACAAATAATGAGTAACGAGCACATTAATCCTCCATAACCTTGCACTTCGCCAATAACATAGGTCAGGTAAATCTTTATCTCACACACCGGGCAAGTATCAGAATCACAGAAACGTAGAGCAGCAGAAGTGAGAGCAAGACGCCCTCACACACAGCCTGGCGGAAATCATCGGAATCGATGGATAGCGCCAACGATAGCGCCGATAAACTCAAAAACAACCTCGCACATATGTCACTTTCCTAGAACCAGACGGTACATGTAGGTAGCTTATCACATGTGAATCCCCGTACTTCTTATTTCCTGAAGTTAATGTTTCCTTAAACAATACTTGGAATCCAGTTAATAATAGGGACTTTTAGATTTGCACGTCGGCATAGCGGACTGCTAATAATGAATCACATACGTAATCAGGTCCCAAAGGATCATGTAAATAATATCGAAACTGTTGTGTTTCACAGTCAGGCCCTTTTAAGGCACTGCCAGTACCTTAAAAGGACGTCACCCCATGGAGTTACTAGTAACTCCATGGTTCTACGTAGCAGTCCACTATGTCGACGTGCAAATCTAAAAGTCCCTATTGTCAGTTACATCACGTCATCTTGTCAGCTTGCTACCAATAATTCTATTCCTAAATGTTGCAAAGGAGTGAAGCGAACGAGCGTGGTAAAAATGTAATTTTGACATAAAAGGTAGCACCTCGTCGTCAAATAGAAGGCTATTTCTTCCTACCAGGTAATTATTTACTTCACCTGGGTGGAGAGTGGCAAAGTGTCAAGAAGTGGCAAAGAAATTTAATGTCGCGGCGTGTGATCCATAGTCAAGTGACATATCCGCTAAACCACGACACCTCTACCTTTAAAGGTTGCGAGCAAACTGGCTTTTACAAAATCCAAGTTATTCCAAAATAATGATTTTAAAAATATATAGTACTACAATTCTCTCGCGGCACTCCTAGAGATATTTTGCAGCAACCCTGTTGAAAAAACGCTGTCATTGGCTGTATAGCCATATCATTATTATTCTAAATCTGGCATTGGTGTATTAAAGATAAAGTCTGTGCAGACTTGGCAGTAACATTAGCTGAACTGTTCAATGGGTATATAATAACACCAAGAGAGACCGACATGGTTGGTTTTGTGGACCCTTTGACACCTCTTCTGAGAGATCACTACACCGCGACGGTCCATGGAACCAGAAATTTCATACTCGTGTGCCTTCTGACAATTCTTCTTGATGGCTCACCAAACCAACGACCCCCTATGGTCATTCTTCCCTTGTAGTTATAAATCTCTTAGTTGTATCGGTCTCGTGAACTGTCGGTCTTATGGGTCGTCGAAGGGCTGTTGGTCTGCTAATTTCCCTATATATTTGCAATCTAGTACTTGTGTTAAAAATACACGTATAAATGAACGAATCAAGGTATTCACATCAACCATTCACTGTAATATCTGCCTTTAAATAAAACATGTTTCCTTTGAAGTAAAATAGAATAGATTCAATTCACATCCGACCCTAAGATTGTTATTACTACCTAGAATTCGTTAACTTCATGAATGCGGAATGGGAGATTTCACCATTATACATCGTCATCAAATTTTTAAAGCATCTGTGTAATTTGTAGAATCACTGTTTCGAGCAAAAACGTCAAGCTCCCTCATTTTTTGTTGGCCGGTTACCGTATTTCGTAAGACGGTCAGGAAAATTGATACCCGATATATGACCTTGAATGTCCGTTCAGTCATAAAGCCAAATTGTCTTCTAGGTAATATGAGAAATTGTTATAGAATATTAAACACGTGCTTACATTTTTCCTATGGTTTTTGGCATGTAATACACGGTGCTATTTTTCAAAAACATCTTTATTTCTATTCAATCGAAGGGTATTTTTACGCAATTGCAGTGCTTCTGTCAAGTTTTGATATGTACAATACTACATCCGGCGTTTAGTAGGATCGGTTACCATACGTGCAACTTCATTTTCTGTTAATAATCAATCGTGTTAGTTAAGGAAAACAAATGTATTTGTCCATATGGTTGTAAAGACTGCTTTATGTGGTAAACATCATAAACATCTTCCACTAAAGAAAAATGTTTAGAACTTTTGAAGGAAAGAAATTTTAAGTGATTAAAGTTTAGTAAGGCGTTGTGTGAACCTGGAAGTGCTTTATGAAAAAATCAGAACAGCAAGCAACATAATTACACTAGATTTCACTATCTTACTACAGGGGTGAAATTATTTACGCGTTTCTCCGCGAAACTCGATTCTAAACATAAAGAGTACACATATTCTTTCGTTAAAAGTCATAAATGAGAATCGGAAGATTAAATTCATAGTCATCAGTATTTAGTCTAAATTTCTTTGCAACGTTATTATTTCTTATTAAATTAAAACATATTCATAACATAGGAAAAATTAACACAAAATTTACACAATATACACTTTAACAATTCTATTTAAATTACTTCAAAGAAAAATCGAGTCATACATTCAAGCAAAAAGGATGAAACAAATATTTCATCATGAAGAAATACCAAGGTGTAGAATAAAATGAATCCCCGTACCCCACCTACAATGACATATACAAGGACACTTCCTACACACGTCCAGTTTCATTGAAGGGAGAGAGAGGAGAGAAGAGAGGAGCTGCTATTATTGTTCAAAAGGATTTGTTTTTCTTAATTATTATTGTTTTTAAGTACCACACGACTACCGTGGATTTTTTGGGGCGATGAATTACTAAATAGCAATTACTCTAATGAATCTAATGTGACCCCATTTCTGTTAGTGAATCCCCGATGTAATTTAGTTTTATATCATTTTTTCCTGTTGAGCATATTTGATGTCGGGATATTCTCTTCCTGTCTAAAAATATATGTACAATATAGAATTTAGATTTCTTTTCCTACTGGAATTTCCTGCGACGCCGAAAAACAAGACTTGACAATGCAATTTAAAACCTTTTTAAATGAAACGCTCAAGTTACTTCCTGCCGCGAAAACTTAACTTTGAAAGCATAAAAAGTGAAAATATTTCCGTGTATAAATGTCAACAATATTAGACATAGATAATAGGCAGCTCGGGGAATTCCTTTAACGTTAAAAATGAGGCCTATTAATATTCAATGTATATGACAAGCTATCTTCCAGCATCTCAACAACAATTCGACAAATTCTTTATAAGGAAATAGACAACAGTGATATATTCGTCGAAACAGAAACTTATATTCTTCGTCAAAACGAGGATGTTGGTCATTGATGGTCACTCGTTAAGTACTATTCAAAGATGTCTTTAATTACCAATCTATACATCCGCTGACAATGAATGAAGAGCTGTCATTGACACGCACTCCAACGTTTTGTTGAAAATTATAAAAGTGTTAAACTTCAGTTTCTCTTTCGCCTTTTAAGGATACCCAGTGGCCTGCATGTAACCGGAGAGTACATACGACCTTCGGGTAAGATGGACAAAGAAATGCAGTACAATTTCACTTTTGTCATTCTCCTTTTACACGGAAGAGATACGAAATTTCCATACTTCAAAAAGCAAACTAAAGTCCAACAAGTCGGGATGGTTATGATCATTGGAGATTATATTACTAATTGTCTTTATTTGGGGGCAAAATTGAAAAGGAAATCTTACGAAAGCGCAGGAGGAGTTCTATCAAGCGTTTAAAGGGTGATTGAACCCTTTCAAAAAACTAATTTGTTAATATTAACATGTATTCTGGCAAGGCAAAATATGTGAGCTTACGGCAATCTGTGTTGGTAAACTTAATTTCAAGTACTTTATAAATGTTGCTTTTGATGTCTAATTACTTGATCTAGAGATATTAATCATGATGCCCTCTTCTTATCCCCCTTGTCTTACGTTTACAAGTTTGTCATCATTACCAGTATGATTGCCGATCCGTGTGTATACGATCGATGTCACATTGTAACGGAGCATGATTTTAAGGCATTCTTTTTTCGTGAGAAGTCTAGAGCGATCTAACAATCACAGGCTTACAGCTGTTTTCCTAAATAAACCCAGGGTGGGTAAACTGTCTCGCTTGCCCCTAATTCCAATGCAAATGCTTTATTACCTTGCTCCTTTACTGAATGGGCATAAATAACAACACATTTGTAAATTCTAAGTAAATTGAAAATAATATCGCTAGTGATATTCGTTTGTCTCGCAATGTATGGTCAACAAGGGATATAAAAAATCACGACGTTTCGTGCGCCGCTGCAACACTTCGTCAGGTGATAAAATATAATGTAATATAAGTATATTCTTTGACAAGGAAAGTAACGAACTTTTAAAGATTACTGTTATCGTCATTATTTGTTTTTTCTAACGTCAAGTATTGAAATAATTTGAGGAAGTGAATAAGATTGATGAAAATACCAAAGCAAGTTAAAAATAATACAGAATCAAATTCAAAGAATTTGGAAAATTCTTATAACTGTGATTTTTTTAATCAACAATGATTAACTTCAGTGTTTTTATATGCGTGTGTTAATAGCCATGACATATGAGAACCACTTCATGAATCATATCAGGAAACTTGCCATCCAAACTTTCACTCTCGTAACCGATAGTTATGATCCTTGAAGAATATAATTTTCTGTACAGCTTTGTAATGCAGTTGCACGTTGACTGGCTCTTTGGAATGACGACGCCTATATTTCCCATTGTAAAGATGCCACACCCCCAATCCTGTCCAGTTTTATAATTCAACACCCCTCCCCCTATCGAGCTGAAGTACATCGCGTGTGATAAATAATTTGATTAATTACCACAGGTGTCATATTTAGGAAATAAATTGTGAAACCAATACAAGAGCGACTATTAAACGTCATGCAGGTCAAATTATGCTGTCAGAAGATATGTTCTTTAAGGGCTGATCTTTGAACATTTCGTTTACTTCTCTGATTTCATGGGCCCAGAAGTATTGCATGTTTGCAATTGATTGAATGCGGAAATCGTGCGGTTGCTTGGATGATCAGTTAGTTAGGGAAGTAGACAACAAAAATCAAGGAATCAAAGAATCACATCATCATATTATCAAAAGGGATTTCTTCGCAGACGACGGACTGACCGTTCAAGAACTACTTTTTAAAAACTTTTAATTAGCATTATGCCAACGGGCATGTTTTTAGGGAACGCTTGGCCTCAAACTTGAACAAGTTTTATTGCAAAATAAATCGTTGGTGTACGTCACCTCCTCTAACCCTCTAGTGCGTCTACACTGTAAAGGTGTAGTTTAAGATCAGTTATTCATTTTCACATTTTTACACTCTGACAAGACCTGACAACCATGGAAAGAGAACATAAAATGGATTTCAGCTCCAATACAACTGTGACAATGGTGATGAATACAACCGGCAACCAGCCTCTCCATTCACATGCTGGACTTGTGATAATCTCTTTGATTGTTGCTGCCATAATCACAGTAACAGTGGTTGGCAACATCTTTGTGATCCTAGCTTATTGTCGAGATCCACGCATACGTGAGAAAGTGGCCAATCTCTTAATCTTAAATCTCGCCATTACGGATTTGATTGTCGGTGTCTTCAGCCTGATCTTCAATTTCTCAAGGTTTATTCATAGGTTCTGGCCGTATGGTGAGATCGTCTGCAAATTATGGACCATCCTGGACTTCACAGTGTGTTGGATGTCCATTATCACCATCGTCCTGATCAGCTGGGATCGCTACACTCTAGTCAGGTTAGGCATTGGATATAAAGCCTACCAGACGAAGAAACGTGTAGGTCTTATCCTCATCTCCTGTTGGATTATCGTGGTTATCTACTGGTCCTTGATTGCGTTCACCTGGGGTCCTATCAAGGGAATGAAAGCAATTCATTATGATACAACCTGCAGAATGGAATTTAATTACACACGTTTTGCGCCTCTATTCATCAATTTAATTCCATTTAGCATCTTACTTTCCATTGCGATCGTAATGAATGTTTCCGTATACATCAACATCTACAATAGATCGAAGGGTATCAACTCTCCATACAGCAACAGAAAGCCTCCAACCCAACCCATTGAACAGTGTACCACTGAATCCTCCTGTCGTTACACGCCTTCTGAAGGATCGGCATTCCTTGAACAGGCCGACGAAGTAAAGCCTCCAAACACCATGAAAGCAACCAATGAACCGGTCGGGTCTAGACCGGAAAGACGGGTGCCTGACTACAGTGAAATAGCAAGAAGTATGAAAAAGGAGAAAATGACACTCGCAAGGCATCGGAAAGCAGCCATCGTTTTGACCATACTCACTGGATGTTTTACTCTATTCTGGTTACCATACAAGATCATGACCGTGGTCTTTTCATTATGTGGATCCGACTGCGTTTCCGATGCCCTTTGGGAGGTCACCGAAGTCTTGGCGTGGTGCAACTCAACCATTAATCCAGTCATATATGCCGCTTTCAGCGTGCGCTATCGTAAGAACTTTCGTTACTTTCTGCAGCTGGACCGATGCAAATGCGATGCAAGAAAGTGATATGCCAGATATAAATGGTTCTTTGAAGACTATAAAACTAACAACACTAACTCTCTGTCTACTATATAAATATCACGTTTAAACATTCCGTTGACATAATGTCGAAAGCAGTATACTAACCAACATGAAGCAAGAAAACAATTGTTAGTTTATGAATGATACTATCTTTTTACTTGTGCATAATTGTATATGCATGACTCTTAAATTTGAAAATTAGATATTACCTGAAGTAAACCTGGTGTAATGACCACACAAATTCAAATGATGCAATTAATAATGCAGGCAGGAGTGCCTATATACAGAATATAATTCACTTTTCACTCTTCCCTAAAATGACATTAACGGTGCACAGCTCAACCCTGGTTATACTGAATGATTGATGTGAATAACTTTAAAAAAAAACTTTTTTAAAAAGTTTAGGGCTGGATAATTTCAGAACATGTTCTATTTATTTTGGCAGATAAGGCAGGAAGGCAGATAACACTGTGAATCGATGATGTAACATAGATTACTGACTGCTATGAGGAGCATCGCTGTTTCTATAGGCTCAAGGGGATGTTACATCCAACTATGACCCCCGAGGTGCCCCGGGGCCTCCCCGAGAGCCAGTATAGAAACAGCTATATTTCGAATATTAAAGCAGTCCATATATCTTTTATTTACCGAATTCACAAAATAATCTACAAAGAATTCTTACCTTGTCCTTTTCTTGAGTAAAATCTGAAACACTGTCCGTAAATCTTTGCTGGAAAGTTGCCTGAAAAAGGCTTAACGTTACGATCATTTGGGAATCGCACACACATTACACTGTATTTGTATCCGCGCTCGCACAAAGAACTTTTTACACGTTAACCAATGGGGATCTCAGTAAAATGTATTTATGCGGCGCTTTACCCGGGGCAACGGGCATTTTTTCATAAACTATTGACCGTTTATAAGCGAACATGGTTAAAATCACGACTCCAATTTCGACCAAATGAATCAGATTACTAGATTTATTCAAAATACTAAAGAGAGGTATACAAATACCTTTGTTCTACATTTAAAAAAACAGTTGAGGGCTGAATAATTTTAGAACATGTTCTATTTATTGGCAGATATTACGGTGAATTGTTGATGTGAAATACTTTATTCGTTCATACAGGTGATTTGTAAACAAGTAGTAGATTGCACATATATGTATATATACATGTATATATAAACATGTACATGTATATACAAGGACATTAGGAGACTGACAGCCATGCGACGACCCATGAGACCGACAGTTCACGAGACCGATACAACTAAGAGACATATAAGGGAAGAATGACCAAAGTGGGTTGTTGGTGTGGTGAGCCATCAAGAAAAGTTGTCGGAAGGCACACGAGTTTGAAATTTCCGGTCTCATAAGACGTCGGTGTAGTGATCTCTCACAAGAGGTGTCAAAAGGTCCACAAAATCGACAATGCCGGTCTCTTGGGCCTTTGGTCTCGTAGAACATAGCCGTTTAAATTTGTTTTTATTAACTCAATGTCATATTGAATCCAATGTAATGCTGTTATATCAGAGCAGATGACGAAGCAAAAATCAGTGTATTGTGCAGCGAAACTGTTGATATCAATGACTTATTTATCTAACATCTATGCATGGTTTTACATATTGTGGTCTGTCAGTCTATCACTATTACGACTAATCTATCAGATTGATGAAAGCACTTGCAAGAGTTAGTTTCTATAAAAATGTGTTTACAAACCATCTTTCGTTACATCGGAAATGGTATCATAACTTTAAAACAATTACAAATAGAATTTGAATATTGTAAAAACCATCTCATTCACATCTTTATCACCATTTGCACACCCCAAAAAAATTCTTAAAAATTGTCATCATTTTATAATCTTTTAATTAAATTGAATTAAATTCTTGAATTAAATTCGGCCACATGCCAATCGATTTGCGTCACTTTGGAATCACTGTCGTTTTAGTGTCGATAAAGTTCGTAAGTTATGATTCTACTTGGAGATTTATGACGTTTAATCTTTTATTTCAGGCTTTAACTGTGCTGTATGTGCTGTGTGTGCGTGCGTGTGTGTGTGTGTGTGTGTGTTTGAGTGAGGGGGTGCGTGCGTACGTGTTTCTGCGTGAGACTAAATGGTATTGACTGTACAGCGTGCTCTATAAATGATATTCTTAATGGTCATCAGTATATTTCAATCGAGTATTTTATTGCCGATTTTCCTTTAAAGTGTTCGATTCAGTTTAACTCACATCTCTTTCAAACATAAAAATAATAACAAGTATAGCAATTTAGGGTAAATATAAAATATGACATATATACAAGATAAAAAAGATAGATATCCATACACGTATTATAGCCGATATGACAAATACAAAAAGAAGGATGAACTGCAGTGGATATGAGGAAATAGCGAAACCATTGTCAAGCGCAAGGCTAATCCCCTTTTTACCACACATAAAATGATATTAATTAAGGAAGCAACTTATATTATATTATTACACGACACAATACAATACAATGCAGGAAATGAGCAAACCAAAACCCCTTTAGCTGAAATTGATTAAGTGAAGTGGAAACAACCATAACAATTTGGTTTCGAAAGTAATTATTTTTAATTGTTTAGAAATCGTTCTCTGTGATCAATGTCAGTTTAAAAATAAAGTCGAAATTTTGCACGCTATCGGTTGGCCTCTCTCACACAGTGAGAGAAAATGACAGAGACACAAAGAGAGGCAAAATTAGACAAACCGAAAAGTGAAATAAATGGTGAGACAGGGAAAAGTAGACCGAAGAAGGGCAAGGCTAATCATCCTTTTACCATTCATAAAATTATATTAATTAATGAGTAACTTATATTATATGATTACAAAACATAAAACAATACAATGCAGGAAATGAGCAATACAAATTCCCATTAGCTAAAATTAATTAAGTAAAGTGGAAACAACCATAGAAATTTGATTTCTCAAGTAATTATCTACAATTGTTTAGAAATCGTTCTCTGTGATCAATTTCATTTTAAAAATAAAGTCGAAAGTTGGCACGCTATCTGATGGAAAATGCCAGAGACACAATGAGAGTGAAATTAATTGTGAGATAGGGAAGAGTAGACGGAATAAAACAGGAGAGGGTACGAAAATGGAGAGAGAGAGAGAGAGAGAGAGAAAGAGAGAGAGAGAGAGAGAGAGAGAGAGAGGGGAATTTAGAGAGAGAACAAGAAGAAGAAATAGAGACAAATTTGGGAAATAGACAGAATACAGTTCCATAAGTAATTAACTGTTATTGTTTAAAAATCATCAAATGTGATTACTGCAGTTTTGAAGAAAAAAAAGTCTAGAGTTGCACGCTCTCTGTTGGTACCCCCCTTCCCCTGGAAGAAAAAAGAGACGAAGTGAGAGAAAATGACAGAGACACTAAGGGAGGTAAAATAAGAGAAACAGAAAGAGTGAAATTGATTGTAAGACAGGCAAAAGAAGACCGAATGAGACAGGAGAGGTTAATAAAGTGAAGAGAGAGAGAGAGAGAGAGAGGGATTTAGAAAGAAAGAAAAAGAAGGAGAAAGAGAGGCAAGTTTGAGGAAAAGACACATTACACAAACGCACACACACACACACGCACACACACACAGCCACGTACACACACCCACGCACACACGAACACATGCGCACAGATTCTCTCTTGCTCTACATTGATGAAATCATTGTTGTATTCTACCACAGAAAATTCGAGAAAATTATGGACTTTAACAAAAGCGCCACCATATGATAAATTTTATACAGGTTAAACATTTTTTTCGTACCTTCTTTGATAAGAATGAATCCAGGATCGTCATTTAAAAAATATTTAGTCAAAATAATATTAAACCGTGATTGCAAACGCAAATGTATCCCTAATATCAGAACGGACATCAGAAAATCAACGAAAAATAGGCAGGCATGGGAATCAATGTAATGTTATTGGGGAAATAGTAAGTCATGAAAGTTTGGAAACAAACAAACAAACTAGACTAAACAAAACAAAGTGCGTATGTATATACAAGCGGTTCTTATTATATACAATATTTTGAACCAGCTTTGACATAAAAAAACAATGCCTCGAAATCGACGATATTTCCCGATGAAAAATCTGATTAATTCGTGCTAGTTCGTGCTTATTTGTTTATCATGTGAAGTTTGCTGTTTTTAGCAATCTCAATTTCATAATTTGCAAACATTAACCCTAATATTGATTTGAAAACGTATTCACCTTGTACACTGACCTCGGAAACATCGGGTTGAACGCTTCCATTTGTTAAAATTGGTTATTTACAATGATTATTATCAGTTAATGTTAAGATGAAAACATGACTTTTAATGTATCTATCATCAAAGAATATTGGCACATTATGCAAATCAATTAATTACATTATGTTGGACATGTGTAGATCTTTTTGCACTGCCCTTGAAAATATCGGTTTGAACACTTTATTTGTTTCAATTGGAATCTTGGTGAGGAGGGGGGGGGGAAGGGTCAATTTAAGGATTACACATATCGAAAATCACCTTTTGTGTGTAATCGTTAATGCTTCTCTGACGACATTGAAATTGCCCGTCAGCCCTCAACACTGTGTAATGGTCCTATATCAAAACACAGACGAATTTCAAATTCAAATCTCATCATATATAGACTTTCTTTCAAAAAAAAAGAAGAACATTCTAAAAAAGAATAAAAATCAGAAAGAAAGTCCAATCACACATTGAAGTGACATTTATGATAGATGCTAAATATAGGTCACAGCCACAGACCCCCATCTATCATACGAAAGATGAGATGATCATAAATCAGTATTGGAGACTGTAGAATGGTTGATGTGGTTATCTTCCCACCCGAACCGTAGTCCATGTGTAGGGTCGATGATACACTGGGGATAACCATTCAAGGGCGTTGCATGAAGAGCGGGGGTCACCCCACTCATCGAATTTTGTTGGCCAATTCCTAATTGATGGCGGCATTCTTACAT